AGTGGACTGACAAAAAGGGATAAATATGTTGCTTACGAAGCATTTGAGGACCTGGAAGTTGTTTTTTGCTGCCACGGAGACTGGGGGGAGACCGTTGATCGATGTTCGCTCACCGGGCTGACGATGGCACCAGTCGTGGCGAATTGCCCGATGGTGCTGGATGCAATTACCAGCGAAACGTCGTACTACTCAAAAATTTTAAATGTTGTGGTTTCACGCTTCAACACACCGGTGGGCTAAAGCAGTGAACTATTTGTCTTTTGTCAACGTGACACTTTTTTAACTGATTGGCCGTGTCGGGTGGTGGTGGTGGAGGGTTACGACACATTTATAAATAACGCGATCTAACACCCAAAAACGTTGATTATGAGTCGTGACTTCTCACCGAACGGAATGGGCCACGCGAAGGCGCCCTCTGCCATCGCCGCTGTTGACCGCTCTTGGGTCCGGTGATGTCCAGCATCCCGCGCGTTCATCTCGCAGACGCGCAGGCGCCACTTAAACCGCGACGCCACGGAGAAAACACATCGCCAGATAACACAACACGGCCCTTTCAAAGCACTAATCGAATTAGGCAATTTATTATTCAATCAGGTTTTAAGAAGCGATTACAGAAACTAAATTACAGCAAACAGTAATTTGGCTGCTTTAATAAGATTTTTTTTAAACCCCTGCCTGTTAGCCGTTCCAGCGAATCGTAATTTGTCGAAGAGATTCCAGTGAATGTTGTGTCCACCCCTCCTCCTCCTCCCGTATTGAAACACACTGCTCGACTGAGGCTCTGAATGCGCCCCAATGCAGCTATCAAAATGCCCATACTGTTAACGTGCAGCGGGGGGGGGGGGGGGGGGGGGGTGCACCGAGTTCAAACGAATACAAGAGCTCAGTCAGCGAGCCACGCACACGCTCAGCCGTGTGCACGGTGAATGAGAGGCGACGTGGTTTAGCGTGCCCGGCCTTCTCTGCCGTGGCGTGAGGGGCAGATGCTGGCTTCTCTGTCTCGTGCACTGCGGTGGCCCGCAGTTCCTTTGGGATTTCAAAAGCCACGCGTTAAATAAGAGCGTCAAATGAAATACGTGTTCAATCTTGATTTGAAGCTTTCGCGACTGCAGGAATATATGCTCTTTGGTTCTTTCGGTAAAGTCACATAGGTAGAAATAAAATAATTTAGTAATAATATTATAAAATAAAATACGTGTTTATTCATTACTTTTGCGCGGGTTGCCGACTGAGCACAGGCTCAAAGGCGTGCAAGTGTCTCGCGGGCCAGCAACAAACAGCACTCTTTGTTCAAGCTGTAATCGACGAGGGTTGACACGTTTCTTCGAATTGAGCAAAGTTGTTAACGGCTGGGGTGAAGGAGACGATGGGAGTCAAAGAGTCCCATCGTGCTTTCTGGGAGTGAAAATAGAAACGAAAGCGACCAAGAAAACACACACAACACCCGCGACAAATCTTACGAAGGCATTTTTGTTGTAAACTTTTACATTTGATTCGTTTGTAACGGCAAACATGCTGACGGTCAGACCCATCATACGGGAGTTTTTTTTACGTTTTGATTTTCAGCAGAAGAAAGTAAAGCTGTCATAACGATCGTGAAGCATCACAGGATTTATTCTCTCTTTTAGCATCAGCGGTGCAGTCATAAACAAATTAATTAATAAATAAACACCCCCCCCCCCCATTGGAATTGCGGGGACGTTATTCCCACTGAAAAAAAAAAATCTAAATTCCAGGCGAAAAAAACCCGTTGGCTTATTGCATACCGTAGGAGTTGAATCATCAGCGATGTAATTTGGATGTGGCAATAACATGTTAATTGCCGTCACAGCAGTCGATATTGCGTACACAGCCCCCTTCGGTGGTGGTGGAGGTGGTGGAAGGGGGGGGGGCACACAAGGGTGTCTGTGTGGGTCCCCCCCCTCCTCCCCCGCGGGGGGCCGCTGGCACAGAGCCATGGAACCCCAGCGGCTCCCTTGCAAGCAGAACGCAAAAAATGCCCCCCCCCTCTCCCCCCCCCCCCCAAAAAGTATTTAAAAACACTGGCCTCCCAGTTGGTTGTAAATCCCATTAGAGCAGGGAGTGGGCGTTGGGTCGGGGTCAAATTTTCACGGATCGTACGGGTTTGTTGCGAGTCTGAAGATGGTGGGGGGCGACGGCTGGCGAGAGGGGGAGTGAGGTGTAGATATGTATGTAGGTATGTTGAACATTTTTCGTGCCGTACGTAGCCAACCGTGCAGTGATGGTGACGGCAGTGGTGGTGGTTATTGTGGCGGTGGTGGCGGCGTTGGTGGTGGCGGCGTTGGTGGTGGTGGCGGTGATGGTGGTGATCATGGCGGTGGTGACAGCATTGGTGGTGGTGGTGATCGTGGTGTTGGTGGGGGTGATGGTGCATAATCGGGAATCTGTAATGCAGTGCCCTAACCACCTTGATATTATATATATATACACACATATACATATATTTAAATCACAAGCGTTCTGTGAATCACGTGACTTGTGTAACCACACCCACTTTAAATCCCTCCCTTCTCCCCGCCCGCTATGAAAACAGACTCTGCTCCGTACGATTCACTTCTGCTTGCTCCATCCTTCTCCGCCTTCCCTCTCTTCCCACCCCTATCCTCATCATCATCACCCTTTCATCATCATCACCCTGTCATCTTCGATATATTGACCCAGTCAATCCTTCTTCCCTTCGTCCAATTCCTGCCTGGCAATGCTTTCTTCCTCGTGCTCATCTTGAGCCATGCCTTATTTGTCTATCTTGTGGACTATTTTTGTTTTACCAGGTAAAACCCACTGAGCGATACGGTTCTTTGTCAGAAGCAGCGACCTAGCTACAAATGATAGCTCAACGAAGTGGCTGATCATGCAGACATTTATATCAACCATACACTCTAAACGCATGTTGATTCTAAATGTGGAGGGATAAACCAGTGGACCCAGAGAAAAATCCACGTGACCATGGGGAGAAGATACAAACTCTAAATATACAGCAAAGCGTCAGGGTCAGGATCTAACCCACGACATTCCGTATACCAGGCGAGGTAGTTAACATCTCGCTACCATTGGGCTCCATGGCGGTGACTTCCGTCCCGGGCATCCCTCCCTCTTCCTGTTCCTTTATCTTGTTCCATTCATCACATGCTTGACTCTAGTCCCCATCCCGTGGCGTGTGCCACAGGCAAAAGTTTTCTAGGTCAAAATATCCGTTCGAGTCTCGAGGGACTCTTTAGAACTATCCCCTAAGTGGAGGTCCTTCCAACAGCAGTGGTGTGAGTTAAGTAATTGCAGGGCCGCACCTTTACCCTGTTATGTGCGCACACGGACAGGCCACACAGAATACGCAACAACAGGCCCCCACATCACCCCACCCCACCACCCATCACCCCCGTGCCTGGCTAAAACATTTAAACAAGCAAAACCGCGAAACTACAAAGATTCATTCTGACATGTATAGACCTCCTGGTCTTAAAATTTTGTTCGAAAAATGTTGTTATGCAAAAGTTTTTATTTTATTTCTTTCAGCATAGCAAACATTTCTCTCTCTCTCTCTCTGGATTCAAGAGAGACGCGCCACAAAACGGCCAGAGATGTATTGCACCAATCTGGAATACTTTGTTGCGTGTGTAGTTTTGGCGCGCGGACCCCGTCGACACGGTGCCAACGTGGGCCCGGCGTGCCGCGACGCTCACCACGAGTTTAACACAACACAAAGAAAAGCAGGTCAAGTGCCGCAAGTCGAAAGCAGGCGGCGAACAAACCTCGATCTAATTTCTTATTTAAGCAGACAAAGCCTCGCCGCCGAGTCTTGGGGCTCACTTTTCACGAGGAGGAGGATCCAACGCCACGCTGGGATATGTGGCAGAGTTGTTACAGAGTTTGGGTTGGTTTTTTTTTTATTCCACGTGGGGGAGGAGAGTGCCAGGTCACCAGGAGATAACATTCAATGCTCAGAGCAGATGCGTTGTGAAACCCCATGACTGCAGTGCCTTTCAGATCCACTTCTTTGCTCTGTCCTTGACCCTTTGCTATAAACATTTATTTTTTTTCTAACAAACAAACATTTGATTAACTTTTAATCACACGGCCGCTGTGTAAAAGGTAACGGCGCAGCCCTGCAATTGCTTAACTCACGCCGCTGCTAACGGAAGGGCCTCCACTCGTAGAAGCTCCAGAGCCGCTCGATAAGGTATTTGGCCTACTCTTCCATGTCGACCAGACGTCTTGAGTACACACCCACAGATTGCTGCACGAGATCCCACACACCGCTCGCTCAGCCTCCGTGACGAATGCCTGAGGGGGGGGGGGGGGGGACGATGTCACCCACCGCAGACTGACGCTGCCGGGTCTCCGTTCCCTCGCCTCCCACTCATCCCCCCGCAGGTGCAGTGTCACAGCTTCACGGGCTACTGCTGGTGCGTTACGCCGGACGGGAGGCCCGTGGGTGGCTCGTCCGTCAAAAACAAGCTGCCCAAGTGCACAGGTGCCACGAGATTTTGCGGTCAGATGTTGCGCGTAATTATGCTTTTTGCTCTGTGTTTCGTGCATGTTGCTTATTATCTATGGGACATTGTGGTTTTTTTTTTTGCCAGCAACAAGACGACGCTTTGCAATGTGTGGTGTCTATTTGGTGTCGGAATAATCCTAACACCTGTTTTATTGCCAGAAAGGGGAACGTATATTCTCACTATACTATTCATCTGATTTTAGGCAATATGCAGATCACCGTAGAATGTTGTTAAACACATATCGTGAGTTTCTACCGAGTACATTGTGACTGCCGTTTGTGTAACCAAACAAACGATTAACCCAACGCGTCGCTTAATTATGTAAAATGCTGTTTCTACAATGGCACGTCCCGAGGCTTCACGATGGAATCTATTACGGCGTTTGCAAGCATATAAACGTTTCACTGAGTGAAAACTCACTCAGCACTGTAACAGGACATTCCAGATAGTGAAACAAATAAACTTCCAATGTTCAGTCCAACACAGAAAATAAAAAGTTGTTCTTTTAGACTCTCGGCCTAATGGCCTTCTAATCTTACACGAACCAGCAACATTTATTTAAGCAAACAAACTCTGGACTGGCGTCAACACCTTGTTTAGAGAGCCTGACTGCTGATGAGACCCAGGAAATCTAAGCTAGCACACTGTTTGTTCGCTGAAATAAATTTTGCCGGTCAAAATCATTCTAAAATGTCAGCGGGGGATGGACTGAAATCTTTTACATTTTTGCGCGGAAAGATGGAACGGAAGGATATGTATGTATTTATACATATATACTTATAGATATTTATTTCCACAATGTATCGAGCACTTTTATAACACGCTCATCGCTCAGCAGACATCAACGTTGTGCCAAATACCAACGTTTAGCTCGCGTTTTTACCCTGCCAGCGCTGCAAGTTAGAACTATTTGTGCTTTAAGGTTCAGATGGCTCATACTTTGAAGCGTACATTACGTTCGCACCGCTCACATTTTACGAATTTATCATAATCATGGGAGCTCTACGCCGTGACTCGTGCAGGGATTCTGGTGTATTTCGGATAAACATTTTTGCAAGAGCATGTAAACAATGGATATGGCTGAATGTGTTTTTCAAGGTGATAAAATTTCACTCAGCAGCTGCGATTTTTTTGCCCAGGGATCAAGCGTTGAAATGTATTTTTTTTGTATTGCGCTTGCCAAAGTCATAATATTATTATTAATTTTAAAAAATGCGGCCTGACTATTTAAAAAAATCCAAATGACATTCTCACAATACCACACGGTCACACGGCATTTTATCATCACTTAATTAATAAATTACCCTTTTCACATAAGTGAACCACAAAAGAAATCATAACACACCAGCATTTAAACATTGTCCTATTCACTCACGGGCACTGCTCTAACACATATTATAAACAAAAACCCTCGGGGCAAGGAATCGATTAGTTCTCTTTTTGTTTAACGTCGCCATCGGCGTTGAAATCACGACGAGGGCAACGTTCCCAACAAACGGAGAACGCTGCAGCAGCACTGCCGGGCAGAGAGGCTCGCGCCAGCGGTGTAGCCATCAAGCGCGCAGGCGGTGCAACTGCACCGCGGGCCTACAGCCCAAACAAACCCAGGTGCCCGCTGTGCCATGAAGAAGAAGAGGAGGAGGGGGAGGCAGGGGAAGGGGGATTATACACGGGGTGGGGGGGGGGGCGGGCTCCCCATATAATGTCTGACTTCGTCACAAATACCACCGTCACATCCCACATTGGTCTCCCCAACAGAGAGGGCATTCGTCCCTCTGGGTCCTGTTCGGGCACGTGGCTCGTCGTCTTTGCCCAGACCTTCTGACTCATGTTACCCTGCGGTCGAGTGACGGAGTCAGATCCGGAACAAAAGCCGGATCTGGAACAAAGGCCGAATTCGAAACAAAAGCCAGATCTGGAACAAATCAGGATCTGGAACAGAACCTGCATCTGGAAAAAATGCCGGATCCGAAACAAACGCCGGATCTCGAACAAAGCCGGATCTGGAACAAAGCCGGATCTGAAACAAACGCCAGATCTGGAACAAAAGCCGACCCAACGTGGGTTCACCAGAGGGGACGCCCATGCCAAACCCGGTGCCTACAGGTAATCGTGCACCGATGATGTGGCCCCGTGCCTTATCCAGGGGGCCTGTTTGGGTGCGATGGATCTCGACCCCTGGAGTAACATTCGGAACAGTGGCCCACTGACGACTTAGCGACGACTGCCCCGTCCCCCCGTTCAACCCATCGCATTGGGACCCACGGCGCCAAAAACGCGACGCCGCAGCTGAGATGCGCAATCGGCGCGTCCGTCCGTGTGCGCAGGCCCAAGCGGGGAGAAGCCGCCCCGGTCCGACCGAAACCCCAGCCGAAAAGGTAAATGGAGCCCTGGAGGAAATTCCGCGATCACTCTTTAAGGGCGCCGCTCCCCTCTTCCTACATAACCCCCTCCCTGCCAACCCAACGCTCCCCGTTACCGCCGGCACCTCTACGCTGCCCCCCCACCCCACTCCCTGAACGCCACGCGGTCAATCCCAACGGTTCATATTGTTAGGTTTTTTCGTTAAAGTCACGTAGTTTTTTACCTAGGTGACTTTACCGAAAAAACCTAAGAATATGAATCCTTGCAGTCACGAAAGCTTCAAATCTAGAATCCCAACGGTCTCCAGGCCTCCTGCTGATGGCCTCACGCTGGCAGTAGCTTGCTCTCTGGAGACAACAACTGGGGCTGTAACGATTTGCACCCTCTCCCCCCCCACCCCGTGTAATTCCGCGGATGAGCACGAGGTGTGTTTCCGGAGCCAGAATATGCCGCTTCGTTAAATGTTTTGTTACATCGCTCCGGTGGTGTCGCGCCCCTCGAGGCCGCAGGAATCACCTGAACCAATTCCACACGAGACTGAATTAATTCATAATTCGAAACCTTAAAAGCGCACGTGCCTCGATGAATATATCGCGAGAGTACAGATAGATTTAAATCGATGAATCGATGCCATCGTTTACAGGCCTGGTGCCCGCGTTCCTGCCTTACCGCTCCTTGCTGCTGCTGAGCTACTTAACAAAACAAAAACACATCTCTGCATTGGAGTCCACTGCTTTACATATTGTGTCATCAAAATTAAAAAGCAATCGCCAGAGTGACCGAACACAATATTCGCTGAAAGAAACGCAGCATCGAAAAACTTAAAGGGAACAAAAAATTAACCCGTAAAAAAAAGTTTTTCACTATAAATCCTTTATATGCGTGGCGGCTAGAGTCCTCTCGTCCTCTGGCTTGAGATGGCTGCCACCTATGGGTCAGATGATTGCCTGGCAGCATTAAGCAATTGGTAATTAAATATAATATTTTTTTCCTAAAAGTGTAAAATTTTGCAAAATTTTTTTCACGAAAATTAATTGTCACGCACAACGAGTCTGTGTGAAAAATGTCAGCTCGATTGGATCACGGGAAGTGGATTAAAAAACGACCGAAATATTTGCACGGTCGTAAGCGCGCAAGCAAGCAAGCAAGCGAACTTAATATAAAGGATTTAAAAAGGGCCGTAGCGATATGAACCGATCCAAGATGCTGCTTGCGGAGCTCACAGACAAACAGACATCCGTCGATGTGCGTACGATCTCTCTGCAGGCTTTGATTTGTGCAGTCTGTGAGCACCTGCCGAGACACGGTGGGAGCCTTAGCAGCCGTGCGAATGCTCAGTCTCACATCTGCTGTGCAGTGTGGCCTGACAAACGCTGCTCCTTATTTGGGGGGTCAAAGTGCTCGTGGTGTTGGCGGTGGTAGTGGTAGAAGTGACGGTAGCAGTGGTCAGGTAGTGGTCATGATGGTGGCAGTGGTGGTTGCGATGATGGTGGAGGTAGTCGTGATAGTGGTTATGATGATGGTCGTTCTAATGATGATAACTTCTGGTGATAGTAGCGGTGGGATTGGCAGTGGTGATAGCGGTCTTGGTGGTGGTGGTGGTAATAACAGCAGTGACAGTGGTGATGTAGGGCCGTGGCGGTGAAGGTGGGGGCAGTGGTAGCAGCAGTTGCAGTCGTGGTCATAGCAGTGGTGGTGGTGATGTTGGTGTCGGTGGTAGTGATGTTGGCAGTGATGTTGTGGTTGTAGCGGTTAGCGTGCTGCACTACGAACCCGGCGACCCGAATTCGATCACCGCTCGCGACCATCCACAGTGGCGATCATCTGAACCGGTCCTGGGCCTCCCCTTAGGTCGACTCAGCCTCAAATATGAGTACCAGCTGCGGTGTGTAAAACACCGCCACTGCGGAGACAAAATGCGTCCGGGCGTGGTGCTGGCCACCCACCCGCTCGTGCGCCGTGGTCGGCCTTCGTAGGTGCTAGCGAACGTGTGCCGGCGACGGGCCGTTGTTGTTTTTGTATTTACTTACGCCGGCCACTTGGACAGCTCGTCGGCCAACGAGCGCCCCTCGAAAAGGGCAGGGCAGTGTGTTCAGCGCTCCGTGCCAGCGTGCCGCCGGCGTATATCGGATCTGCCGATAATGAGCATGTGTTGTGCCGCTCGCGATAAACAGACCCCTAGCCGTGAAACAGAGCAGCTGTATGGGCCACCGGCGAGACCGAAACCCAACTCCTGGAGAAAAAGAAACGAGAGAGCTGTTTAAAGCACAAATTAAATTTGGAATGCATGGATTATGCATCAACACCGATGTTTTGCATTCCTGCCCCTGATTTATGCAACTTACTCACGTTAGCCGACTCGCTTTTGTGGGGTCAGGTGAAACAAGGACCTCATTTTTTTCAAGGCCAAAACGTAATGCGTCAATAAATAATCTAATATCGTGACTTTTATCAACCACTTTTTTTCCTCCCCAGTCCCCCCCCCCAAAAATAGAACTTATGCGAGGTGTATATTCCAGCCTCGTTGCTCCTCGGCAGAAACCACGGGCCGTTGAATCTCGCGTCTTGTGCTCACTGACACGCTCAAGCTAATATTTTGCTCCCGAAGTAAATGCTTGCTAGCACAGAGGTCCGGTTACTCCCGAGCCATTTAGTTTCTGCGCATGGGTATGCCCCGTTCAATAAACTAATTGATGAAAATAATTCAGCCCATAAACTGGCCCAAAGTTCAATTTTTTTTTATATAACTCTGCAGACAGCGTTTGTTTTTTGTGCGTGTGGTGGTAAGCGTGCTCTGCTACGAACCCGGCGACCCGAGTTCGATTACCGCTCACAGCCAACAACAGTGACGATTATCTAAACCGGTCTTGGGCCTCCCCTAAGTCGGCTCAGCCTCAAAATGAGTACCAGGTGCAGTGTGTAAACATCGCCACTAAGAAGACAAAGGTGGTCGGGCGTGGTGGCCACCCACCCCCTCGTGTGCTGTGCCGACCTTCATAGGTGCTACTCGCTAACAGCAGCCTCAAAAAAGTGTTAAGACTCTATGGGGGATTTATAATTTAGGGTTTTTCGGTAAAGTCACGTAGGTAAAAATAAATAATAAAAAGTAATAGAAATAATAATAGAAATAAAATTATAAATCATAATTTTATTTCTATTATTATAAAATTATAAATCATATTTTATTTCTATTATTTTTATTATTTATTTTTACCTACGTGACTTTACCGACAAAACCTAAATTATAAATCATAGATTTATTTATATTTTTTTTTAGTTATTTATTTTTGCCTACGTGACTTTACCGAAAAAACCTAAGAGTATGAATCCTTGCAGTCGCGAAAGCTTCAAATCTAGAATCTACGGGGGATGTTTGTCTTTGTTTGTGACCTCAAACATATCGGTGGTCATGGCTTCTTCATCGCTGACAGGTCGAGGGCATGTGGCCTGAGTGCGGTAATGACAGAAAATGGAGATAATTAAACTTCTTGAGTGCAATTTACATACCTAGGCTTTTGTGTTTTTTTTTTATGCAATCCGTTGCCTTCGCCGTTCAGAATAATTGGCGCGAGTTCGTTCCAGTAAGCCTTCAAATAAATTCAAGCCACACCGCCGTCTCGTCCAAATTCACTGCACATTATGTTGTTGGAGCAGATTAAATACGCACAGAAGTGCACTTTAATAGGGTTGCCTTCGAGATGACGGGCAAGCGTGAAAGAATAACAAAGCCACAAACTGCATACATGTCTGATTGCGACGAGAGAGAAAATATTTTTTCAAATTCCAAAGCAGAAATAATGGCTCGCGTCTTGTTCGCCTCCTGCTAATGTAGAATTCCCCCGGCTGAGCGCACTGGCGACTGGGACACCTGTGGACAAAGAGCTTCATAGCTCATCGGATTTCTCAAAGATAAACAAAGATTCTGATTCTAATTGGCTACGTGCAAGGGTCACGGTCGCTTAACTAACCCCACTAAGGCGCCCGCTTCCCTGCTCCCCGCCTTCCTACTCACTTCCCTTTCGCTTCGCGGAACGCTTCCTCTGCCTCCGCTGCGCCCCCAGCCCGCCCGCTCCACCCCAGCCTGCTCGCTACACCCCAGCCCACCCCAGCCCACCCCAGCCCACCCGCTCCACCCCAGCCCACCCGCTCCACCCCAGCCCATCCGCTCCACCCCAGACAGCTGCGGCGACGAGGCGTGGCGCTCCGCCGCGCGCAGCCTCTCCTCGCCCGCCGTTAGCTCAGAGCGCACGCGATGCGGCCGTAGCCACCAGAGGGTCCCCGGGGGGCCGCCGGCATCGCTCACGGGTGCCGCAGCCCGCCCGCTCCCCCCCCGGGGCCCGACCCCTGGCGGCGGAGAGAGCGAGAGGACGAGAGGAGCGAGAGGACGTCCGCTGGGCTGGACGGCGCCGCCACCGCCACCACCGCTGGGTTCCGCCGCCGAGAACGGCGCCCTGCGGAGAGCAACGCACGGTTAGGGAGTCTAAGTGGGGGGGGGGGGGGGGGGGTGAGAGGCGTCAACCAGTAAGTGCGCTTGCGTGGCTTTCCGCGGCTAAGCCATGGAGCGGGTGGAAGTGTCGCGAGGCAGGGGAGGTTGTTGCCGCTGCCGCTCCTGCTGCGGCTGCTGCTCGAGAGACTGGTGGGGATACAAGCTGGCCGGCAGGCGGCAGCGTAGCGAGTGCCGTGATCTTCGAGATCTTCATCAATAACCCTGCGTGGCCTTGATGGGGGGAGGGTGATGTTTCTGGAAATGACCATTCTGCAAAGCGCACGCGGTGGAAGGATATTGAAAAGCAATGTGCCATACATTTCGGTGAAGTACAGCAAGTAGGTTGTTGAATGTTGGACCGTGTCCCTCCAGCGACACGGCCCGGTTGACACAGGCCCTGATGCAAGGGGGTTATAGGCCTCCCTCCCCCACCCCTCCTGTTTAATTTCCTTTACGCAGCGTCGTAGCTTGGTGCCGTGGGGTCTCGGTGCAATTGCACCGCCTGTACACTCACGAAATACGGAACAACGTGGGTCAAGGCAAGGACGTGTCCTGGGTGTCCTGACATCCCTCCCAACGTGCACAAATACTCTCGATCACACATTTGCCAAACATTCCAATGTAGGACCCTCCTGCAAAAGAGTTGTTGAGACTCAATGAGGCCTTTCTGGATAAAGGGCATTATATAACTCAGCCACGGTCTGAACTTTGGGCCAATAATTCGTGCTTCGCGACGTAGTTGAGCCACCTGCATTCACAAACATGAGCTCTTTGTGTGCTGACGTCACTCATGCGCCTCACAAAAACATATTTAGGCTGGTTAATTGTTTCTGGTGCGAACTTATGTAAAAGCATGTGGGTGGGTCACGGCTAACATCAGTGGCGAGTGATATTTCAATTGCAGCAACCCGCAGTGACCAGTGTGGTGAAGTATGGTCAAACAACTCCCACGCCCCCACCGCTGCATGGGAAGGCACTAAGGCAGCAGTGGATTGAGAAAGGGCTGCAAATTACAATGTTATTATTATGATCATCATAATAATAATACTAGAAAATAAACATTTAAAGTGTTACAAAAAATGTGATAACGGGAAAAACTACTTATAAAAACCCATTTTTTGCCTCTTGATAAACCTTACAGGTATTTTTTTGAGGCACCGAAAGATATAACCATGAAGTCACAGCCCTTTTTACTCTCTCAGTGCTCAGACGAAGGGCCCACAGCCTGGAATTGGGAAAGGCCTTAAATATGCATAAAATAAACAACTGTGAATAAACGACGGTGCATAAACTCAACCAGTAAAAGACATCACGCAAATATGCATACTGGGAAGAAATCACACTCATATTTGTTTGAGGCAATATTCGTCTTTGGTGCGAATGACAAAATGCATTTGAAAAATTAACCCCTCGTGTCTATTGGCTGACTGAGGAGTCCAACGTTTCAAGACATAAGAAAGAAATATGAATAAGGGCTACCGCGAGCTTATACTTAGGGCATTAGCTGTAACGATGTCAACAGTAATTTCTGAAGAATTTAGTTAACGAGTCCCATGGCTTCTCAAATTGTAAAAGCCCTCTCCGCGGGGAGAAAGAAACCAATAATTCACAACTTACTTCTTCGTACGGAGTGCGTGAACGCTTCGCAGTTCAAATTTCCTCCGTTTAAAAACGCATTATAAATCCCGTGTCAGCTGCAAGCATCCAGCAAACATCACGATTTTAAATTATAATACACACACACACGCGCGCGCACACAACCGGGGTATTTATTTTTTCCAACACAAAGTCAGAGTTGTCATTTCACAAAAAAAAAACAACAACAACAACAACAAAAACAGAGACACGCGTCTTTTTTCTCAACGGCTATGGATTTTAATTCCAGGGCGTTAATTAACGCAAAATAGCACGGGTCTCACGTGGATTATGAACAAAAAAAATGATTTAGTCAGCGCCGTCTGCCCACATCAGCGATGCCCGCTGATGTATTTATCGTAGCGCGTGTGACCCAGCCAAGGTAATGGGAGGCTTGGCTGGAAGAGGGGGGGGGGGCAGTCACCCTGGGGAAATAAGCGCTGTCTGCGAGCGCTAACGGCGCTGGCGAGCAATGTGGGCCCTCACTGTTCCTCGCCTTCGATTCAGAAAAGCCAACATTTTCTCCGCGGTGGGTTTTTCTTTTTTCACTTCTCCCTTCTCCTCCTCCTCATCCTCGTTGCGTCGCATTCAAAAAGCACTTTGAAATTTTTCGCGAATTCTAAAAGGCGGAATTCAAGTTCTTTCTCCAGCCCGAGGAGCCATGCAACAGCCGTGAGTAAATAAGTGCGTGCATTTTGTACCGCGGGTTTGCTATGAGGCAGCGTTAATGACCAAAGATTTTTGCGGGCTGGTACAATTAAATAGTCGAGTGTGAGGACTCCTCTCATTTGGGAGGGCGATGTCATTATCCATGGTGGTTTTATTCCACTTATCCGCATCAAAAAATGTGGATAATAGGATGAAATTAACGATCAATTTCTCATATCCGCAAAGAAATCCGCACATCATAGAAAGCCGTTCTTAGCTAAAAGAAATACTCCATGTAATTGAAGTATTTGCATATCAAGATGGTATCACCATTCGTCTGTGCAGAATGTGCACAAGGCTTGGTACTGTCATATTGATAAGCATGCTGGGATTCCTGTTTCGTCATGCTGTCGAAGACACCGTTTCCCATACGTATTAATTACAAACTCCTTTTGCAGACTGAAGAATAATTTTTCCATTAACACTGCCTCATAAAATAAGACAATATATCAGGCACATTTTTGGGCAATTGGTCTTTCTTAAGAGCAAATAGAAAGCGCAGCCAATGCTCATTTGACCGATTTCGGTTAGGAGAGGTTAGGAGAGTAAGTGTCCACAACATGGTGCCTTGAAAACACTGAGCAATAGGAGTGACAGAAAAGTTTGGAGACAGCCGAGTTATACGAATGGATAAACGAGCAATGCGCACGTCCATTTAGACGTGACAGTCTGTCCGTCCTATCCCTCCGGACGTGACGTACGTATTTTATTTAGCCACGGGGGCCTACGCAAACAAAACCCAATAAGCGTGAAATCAGGAAGGTTTATAGCCGTGATTTATTTAAATTCTCAGTTTGTCATTTTAGGTTCAGGATATCAGTTGCTGGCAGGCAATAGCTGTTGGGGCAAGACCATAATTTATTTTGTTTTACCAACAAGGAATTTGTGATTGTAAATAAATGACGAATCACTCATGCATTTTAACAAGCCGGTGTTATGGAACTGTTTTCAGCCGAACATAAGAGTGGAAAATCATGCTTTGCAGTCATCCAAACTTGTCACATCTCAGAAGCTAAGCAAGGTGGGGTCTTGTTAGTACTGAGATTTGAGACTTACCCGTCCTGTAGACGTGGGATGTGAGGTGGTCCGAGAAAGCCGGCGAGCAATGGATTCTTAAATCCATTTGTGCGAAGTTTTGAGTGTTACCCCCGCGCTACCCGTATGCATGGTGGCTTTTTCTTAAGTTTTCTTTCACAAGCTAAATGACCAGTAATGGCATTTGTCAAACATCCAAATGCAGGACCCTCCTGAGAGCAAATTGAGATTCAATGAAACGCTCCCTGGGTGAATAATAACGGGGTAGAATCGTTGTTGTCCGAAGCAGCCGCTTCAAAAAATATATGTATGTCGCACGAATTATGGCACTCACGCGAGTTTTCATGAGCACTTGTCGATTTTGGCGAATCAACCAAACTCAGAAAATGTTTCGTTCCACGACTGCGGAGGAGTTCGCGACTGCACTATGGAGGTCTCTCTCCACCGCGTCTTGTCCGACGTTTCGCTCCACGTGCTGGGGGATTCTTCAGGAACTGAATCAGAAGCTCCCAGCAATGTGGAGCGACGCGTCGACACATCCTGCCAAAACGGGGAGGCCTATTGATTTTTTAAAATTTCATCACCAACTAATTCCCCTGTTCAGAAATGCCCATCTGTGGTCATGGTCACCGACTCCCGCAACTTGGCGGACTTTGGGGTAGACGAGCAGCAGTCGTGGGAGAAAGAGGTTCACCCTCCCCACCAGCTATCCCTACGGACTGGCTGGGAGGTCGGAGCGAGTGGACTTATTTCGAACGGGAACAAATATCACCGATCGATTGACATCGATTCTCGGAGGTTCGCGACACTCGCACTGGATCGCGTGCTGCGAGAACAATTATTGCGAGATTTCTCGTGCGTTTTACGCAACGGGGTTCGCGTGACACGGGCAGCTGCTGGAGGCTGCTATATTATTTACTTTGCTTGAAAAAAACTCGATTCGTGCACTGAATCACGGCAAAGCACCAAATTGCCCGGGGCATGATGAATCCCTACACACAGAGTAACAAGCATATCCCATTATGAACACAAATATTTTAACCGACCCATTATTGTCTTTAGTACATTGCAAATGTGTTATTCGAAGTTTACAAACAGTGGTGCAGGTTTTAGAAACACTGGAAGCCAAGGATTAAATTTCACGATCGCTGGTGTGCTCACGTAACCACCGCATGTCCTATCACCTCGGCGACAGTGCCTCTATGCAACGTTCATCAAACGCTGGTGGGCCCTCATCTGTGGGCGGCACAGAACCGCAAGCATTGCCAAGGACGCAACCCACGCTGTGGATCCACGCCGCTCGTAAACTTACACCGTTACGGTTATATATATATTAAAAATATATATATATAAAATATGTATAATTTTATATGTTTATGAAATGTGTGTGTGCGTGGCCGGGCAAAAAGTGCAAAACTGTTTTCCACCTTTGTTGAGGAGTAGATTGTCTTTATCTCAATAATGTCAGTTTCCTTTCAATTCTTCCTGTTTCTGAACGCAGACGACGGCTCCAAACCCACGCCCTCGCAGGAGCCACATTTCGGCGATGACGACGGTGAGATTGTGGAACTGGGAATGAGGGGGGGGGGCGTGGTGGGGTGCATTCAGGGCAAGGGAGAGACTGCAACACGAATGATCAACTCTTTCCCGTTCCGGTGTCGTACGCGTACGTCATCGGAACGAAATCAGAATGAAAAGGCCACGCTGATTGCGCGCGTTTGTCGCTAGGGTTCTCTGCGGTGAGGACAGTGTCTTTTAAAACAGCGGCGGTCCGCCTCTAAATAAAATGAACTCTGAACTGCTTGCGCGTTCCACCCTGCAACTTGCAGACCTCTCGGAACGGAAGAGGGTTAATGATGTGGCAATGCATGGGAATTTTTGTTTTACTTTAAAGAACGAATTCACCGAAAATTAGTTGTCAACTTTCAGCCATTGATTGTAAAGTTAATGTTTTAAAAAAATTGCCCTTATTCAGCACATACCAGACTAGATGCCGTTCTTCGCAGAGGTTAGAGCACTGCATTATAAACCCAGAGGTCGTCATCCAGCAGTGGATTGCAAATAATCAAGTAATGTGTTGCACACTACATATTTCTTTTCTTTTATAATCCACATAGGATGGCGTTAACAATGGCGACTTGTATTTGGTCAACGCTGCACTCCCAGCGCAGTTCTCATTTTATTGGAAAGTTATCCACATTGTCTTGAGTCATTGCACTGCGAATTAAGTGAAACAGAGTCCAAGCTATCATGTTGGTTTCCAAGTGACTGTTAAAGAGGTTATTTTCCTTGGGCAGGGTTTGTGAGTGCATATGTGCGCATTCGTGTGTGTGTGCGCGTCTTTGTGCGCGACTCATGGAGCGGCGCCACAGAGGTTAGCGCACCGGGCGATGAACCCGGCGACCCGAGTTCGATTCCCTCTCATGGCCAATATCCATTGACGATTATCGGGGCCGGTGCTGGGCCTTCCCTAGGTTGTCTCAGCAATAAATGAGTACCTGGCGTGGTGTGTAAACATCAGCACTGGGGAGACAAAGGAGGCTGGGAGCGATGCTCCTCACCCACTCGTGCGCTGGGCCAGCCTCCATAGGTGCTCGCTAACAGCACTTTCCTCAACAGCCTGGTGTGGTCTACACGGGGGCTCTTCGTGCGGGAGGTGTGGCAGTTAGCGCACTGCGCCGTGAACCCGGTGGCCTGAGTTGGATTCCCAAATATTTTAACTGGTCCCTCTAGGTCGACTCAGCCTTAAATGAGTGGGGTACCTGGTGTTTGGCCACCAACCTCCGCCACCTCACCACCGCCAGGAAACATGGAACGTCGGGCCAACATCGTGTGTTTACTCGTGCGGCGTGCTGGCCTACAGCACTTGCCCTAACAAGGCTATACTAGGGGCCATCTTTGTCTCGGCGTGTAAATGCCCCGTTTGATAGTTCATCAGCATTCACAAACAAATCTCCAAAGTTCACATTGGGATCATCGAGAATGCGATGCAAATCCTCTGGGAATTGTTTCTACTCCCGAGCACGGCATCTGTTGCCTACCTTCTTGCCTTCTAGAATGTTTGTTTTGTTTATCTTGGCTAAAGACGAGGATAAATTGCCGGTTTTTTTCGTCGCAATGTCATTTTTGTTTTATTCTAATGGATTTTTAACAGCATATGTTTCCAATATATCTCGACGGAATTTACTCTCCGATGCATTAGTTTACTGGGAAACGAAGATACTTTGTTACTTTGCTGTACGTAAACCAAAGGAAGATGCTCGCTGAAATCCGAAGCTTTTAAGAGTCACGCAACACCCATTTACGGAATGACGTGTAAATCACCGCAGCGGCTGCGGCGTTTAAAAACCGCACTCGCTGCAAACATATTTTGTGTACGCCCGTCGCGTCGAGCTTACGTTCCCTGGTGGCCGTGTCTCTTTTTCAGACATAATAAACGCTCCCACCTTGTGGAGCAAGCAGCTGTCGAGTGCACGCGATGGACGATCCAACGGATCCTCTTCCAGACATTCCGGTAACACGGACAATGACGCTCACACCAAACGCCAACACAGAGGCAAGGAGCCCCACCCCTACCCCCACCCACCGTGTAGCCTCATGAGTTACGAGCGTTGCGAATGCCTCGTTTTCCACCGCACAACCGAGCCACGCCAGGCCCGTGCCGAGCTAGCCCAGCACAGCTCTGGAGGCTTCGGTGGTTGTTTTTCCACTGCGGAAGTCGAGCCGTGCCGGTGACGAGACGTGCGACACGAGTCCTTCGTGGCGTTACCGACTGCCGTCACGTGCAATGCACCAGTCGAGGTGCGTCGCGTAGGCGGCACGGCGACACACGGGGTGCCGAGTGACATCTCACGCGATGCACGCATCATTGGGCCCCGCCCCTGGCCCTGCTTGGCCCACAGCCAGATTCAGTCGTCTTCTTGCGAGGCTTGGCACGGCAAATAGCCGGTGGAATTAGGCGTCCATACCGCGACGGCCCCGCACTGGCTCGACTCGGATGTGCCGCTGCAAAGGAGGTATCGACGTAGGCACGGCGCACATCAGAGAGCAGCGATGTGACCAAGGCTCTATGTTTATAAGGGTGGGGCCTAAATTACTTCCCCCATCATACACAGCATTAGAGCAATGCCGGATCAAATAATGTATCCCCCCCCCCCCCGCAGATAGAGTGAAGTGGCTGAGCTTCAGATAGTGGTATGAGGGCTGTGAGCTAGATCCCAACACACGAGCTGCGTTCAGAAGCTGCCCATCGCTTCTGAGGGTGGTGACAGCTCCTGACCGCACACGAGAATCACTCCCGTCGCTGATGAATGAGCAACGCCGCTGCAGCTCAACAGGGCTGCGTGTCCAGGAGGACGTGAGCCACAACTGAGGAAGGCTGGGAGTTCAAACCTGGGTTGGAGGTCAACTGGGCCACATCCCTCTGGGATCAATAAAATGGGTAGTCGGCATCGGTCACCGTGTGTGTTATAGATGTAGAGAGCGGCCTCCAACTGCCATGGGAATGTGGAACTTCCACCACGGCAATAAAGAGGAGCAGTGCACCATTGCAGCAGGGATACGACCTTGACTTGTTTTAAATTTTGATTTGTACAACAACTGCGCGATGACTCCTGTGGGCCGAGTTCGATTACCAGTAACGGCCACTGTTAGTGGCACGTGACATCCGAACTGGTCCTGGGACTCGTCCCGCTTCACCATGCCCGCACTGACCTGTGTGGTGAAGTAGGGTCGTATCACCCCCCCAAATATCAGAGGACTTCATTCAATAGTTTATTGACAGGTAAGCGCAGCCCTGCAATTACTCTCTCACACGACTGCTGGCAGAAGGGCCTCCACTCGGGGGAGCTCTCGAGAGCTCCCTCTGGAGAGTATTTTTGGCCTACTCTTCCATGCTGGAATAGGTTGGAGAACTCACACTTTACCCCACCGCATGCTACCTCACAATCGACAAACTGTGGTGTCAGCATTCGTACCACAGGACTCAGTTGGGGGGGGGGGGGGGTTGGGAAACGCAGTAGATTGACAAACGGCTGTGACCCGAATTATGTTTTTGTTGATTATTTATATTTTAATTTATTCCAACGACAGTTACGTGGATTCAACACCTTCATTGTGGGCGCTGCCGCATGCTGAGACTAAAACTAAACTTTTTTTTATTTTACCAGGTAAGGCCCATTAGGCCCATTGAGCAGCCAAGTAGCTATTTTTCAGAAGCGACCTGGCAACAAATGATAGCTCAACTAAGTGGCCTATCTGGTGGAAATGTTTACCAGTGGCCAAATAAATGTTTACCAGCGGCCAAATAAATCTGAACGCACATTTCTCAATGTGGAGGAAAAACCCGGAGGACCCGGAGGAAAATCCACGCGACCACGGGGAGAGAGAGAGAACAAGCAAACTCCAAATATACAGCAGGCGTCAGGATCGGGATCGAACCCAGGACCTCTTGTAAACCGGGCGAGGTAGCTAACATCTCGCGGCTGCGCGCGTCACATCACGGCGAGCGCCATCGCTCAACGAATCGTGCCACGGGGGACGCTGTGCAGGTCTCGCGGTCGCTCTGCCAGGGAGATGAATTTGCTCGCGCGTGCGTCAGCGGCCGTCGACGTCCGCATGGGAAAAAACAAACGCCGGGAGTGCCGTAAACAACGCCGCGGTGAAATATGGGGGCGTGCGACGGGGGGCGCCTGCTCCTGCCCTACCGATGACGAGTTTGTGCAACGCGATGTGCTTCCTCTGCTTCGGATGGGGTCCCGTCGTTTCGACGGAGCGCTCTTGACAATAACATCTGATAAGCGGGTCGGCATTTTGTTCACCGAGGCTGACCGTTGTTGATGAGATCAAGGAGGTTAAATTTCGATTTAAAGCTTTCGTGACTGCAGGGATTCATCTTCTTGGTTCTTTCGGTAAAGTGACTTTACCGAAAGAACCAAGAAGATGAGACCAAGGAGGTTTTTGAAACCTCCTTGGACCTGTCCACAGTTTGCTTGCTGCTAAAAAACAAATGCTGCTGTTGCTGCTGGATAATATTGGTCTGAAAATGTAGTAGGACAAAGTTCCGCTTAAATATGCATTCAGACCCCCAGAACTGGGAGTCACAGGATGTGGCCTCTGGTCTCGACTCCGTGTCCCCCGTGCCAGCCGCCTCTTCATCTCTCAAGTCCTCAGCAGCTGTCTGCTGCGCTCCTCTTGGGGATCATTTGAACCCACGTGTCCACACGTGGGTCATTTATCAGCGCCGAATGTTACTGCGCAGCCCTGGCGCTCTCCCACTCATTCACTCCTGCTTCAAGGATGTCTCGTCGAGCCTCCCTGTCTGCCTCTAATGAGGCTCAGCACCGCCGCTGATACGTTTGCTATTCAGTGGGGAGTGGTGGATCCAGGTGTAGGGTGGGGGGCGATGGGGCAATCGACTGCCGCCCTTGAAACTCCATAAATTAGTATTATATTGATATTTTCCAAAAACAATACATTTCATGTTTTATTTTTCTTATTAATGTAGGGCCCTGCTTAAAAAGCTTTGAAATATTGGGACCCTTGACTTAAAGATTTCGTGACTGCAGGAATTCATGGGACAAATAAGAAAATAATGATTGTATTATTTTTCTATCTACATGACTTTCCCGAAAGACCCAAAAAGTATATTGGGACCCCCCACCCCCCGCTCCCACCAATTCCCTGGGGAGTTTCTAGCTCCCTCTGTCAGCGGGGAAGTTCATTGCAAACGAAGCTGAGCTGCATGTACGTATGTTGAACTTCTTTCGCACCGTACGTAGCCAACCGGGATTCGTCTTTGTTTTGGGTTTGAGAAGAGAACTCCTCTGAACTCGAGGCAGCTCGTTCGCTTGGCCACGCCACTCTCCTTCACTGCTTCTAAAATGTAGTCGGGTTAGGTCAGATTTGTGGGATCATCTCTCTTGGTGGTCAGATGTTCGTGAATAATAATGATACAATGGCAAGGCAAATGTGGTAAAGAAGCAGCCCTGAAATGTCTTACTCATTCCACTGCTGGCAGAAGGGCCTTCAGTAGACGGTGCTCTAGAGATTCCCTCTAGAGGGTATTTGGCTTACTCTTCCACACTGGCCATAGGCCTTGCGAGAGATGGGAGTAGCCACCATCTCAATGGTCTATCTCACCTTGCTGTAGCTAAAGTGTGGGGAGTGGCGGTGCAGCGGGTTACACACCGCGCTATAACCGTGGCAAATTTGAAATTGATTTCCCGGGACGTGGCCAACTTCGGTGGTGAGTGATATCTGAGCTGTTCTCCACTCCCATCCCGATGTTTACCAAGCTGCGCTGACCAGCACGGTGAATTATAGCCACAAACAGCCCCTGACGATTGACGCGCCAATGGATTAATTGATTACTGGACATCCGTAAACAAAAGAGCTTCATGGCTCATCGGATTTATCCAGGATAAATAAAGATTCTGATTCTTGCCACCAGCTATAATACACATCACGTATGCATACACAGAGTAAATTACGTGAGTTAATTAAGATGAAAGAACTGTGCAGTGAGGTGGGAGGGGGCTTATTTCATCCAAGGTCCAGGTGGCATGTGAGGTTTCGGTTCTTGTGCGTAGGAACACACTGACGGCATCGCGGCGAGCTGCAAAGCACGATGACTCCCAACCGCCACCGTCTCGATCGTGCATCCACCCCCCCCATCCTCAACCACTCCCATCGCGCCCACCAGCCGCTTCGCTCACACGGCCCTTTTAAAAGGGCCCTCATGCCCACGCCAAAGGTTGGGGGGGGGGGTTCTTTGCCAAATTACGAGCGGCTGGCAGAATCCCACAAATTGGCACGTTTTGAAAGTTTGCTTATTTTTTTGGCATCGGCTTTGCAGCGCTAATTACCTGGAGGGCTTATTTCTCCACGCTCCGTGACTGCGAATTCCTCAATGAGTCTCAAGTTCGTTGCCGTAGGTACGTGTGTGTATGTATGGTGGACTTCTTTCGCACCGTACTTAGCGAACCATCCTGACTGGAGGTGCGGGGAGGACAACAAACTAAACACAAAAAGTAGTTCAAAGAAATTCGTGTTTCAATCTAGGTTTGAAAATTAATAGCTCCAGTGGCTTCCTAATATCGGAAGGAAGAGCGTTCCAGACGGCTGAAGAAACACATCTGAAAGCGCGCGATGATTAGCCAACAGCTGCTGTGAGGATGACCGGTGTTCGCGTGATGGTTGATGCTCCTTAATGTCTGCACCCTTCAATGGCCGGAGAATGTTTTTTCTCTAGCTTTCGTAACTTTTATAATTTTACCAAATATTTATCCCAATTGCGCCATTGCCGCACGTCAAGTTCCCAACATCTTCAAAGTGGCTTCTGGCTAACCATCGAACAAAGACGATCACCGCATCGCGCGCTTTTAGATGCGCTTCTGCAGCCATCTGGACGCCACTGGAGCTATGTAATATAAAATCTAGATTGAAAACTCACTTCATTAGAAACGATTTCTGCGTTTAGTTTGTTGTCCTTCCCCCGCACCTCCGATTAGCACG